CGGCCCTGCCCCGCCGTGCGCTGCGAGCAGCTCGGGGTGATTCCTGCCCTCCCTGGGCTGCTCCCTGCGGGACATCACCGTCACAGCCCTGCCCTGCCCGGCAGGGGCTCAGGCTGGGCCTGGCTGTGGTGATATGTGTCTCTCCTGCTTTTATTCTTGATGAAAACTGTGGGTTTGTGATCTATGGTTAGGTAGTTTGTAGAGCTGTGCCTTGGTACAAACCAGCCTCTTCTGCAAGTGGAATTCTGGTCACACAGGTCCATAGCTTTGGAAATATTTCCTGCTTCAAGCATCTATATCCATGTCTATCTGTCTATCTATCTACCTAATCAGCTCTTCCTGTTATGCAAGAGGAATTCTGATTACAGGGGTCCATAGCTTTAGAAATATTTCCTATTTCAAGCATCTATATCCATGTCTATCTATCTATCTATCTATCTATCTATCTATCTATCTATCTATCTATCTATCTATCTATCTATCTATCTATCTATCTATCTATCTATCTATCTATCTATCTATCTATCTATCTATCTATCTATCTATCTATCTATCTATCTATCTATCTATCTATCTATCTATCTATCTATCTATCTATCTATCTATCTATCTATCTATCTATCTATCTATCTATCTATCTATCTATCTATCTATCTATCTATCTATCTATCTATCTATCTATCTATCTATCTATCTATCTATCTATCTATCTATCTATCTATCTATCTATCTATCGCTCTCTCTCTATCTATCTGTCTAATCAGGTCTTCCTGTTATGCAAGAGGAATTCTGATTACAGGGGTCAATAGCTTTAGAAATATTTCCTACTTCAAGCATCTATATCCATGGATATCTGTCTGTCTGTCTATCTATCTATCTATCTACCTCCCTACCTATCTACTGATCTATTTATATCTGCCCTGAGTTGTGGTTCTACCCCCTGACAGTGTTTCAAGAAGCAAATTGTTGTACTGCACTCCAATGATGATAATCTTGCAGGGCTGAATGTGGTGGGAAGCCAGAAGGGAAGTTAAGGCAGTGACCAGTTTTTGTCTCAGTTTCACAATTGGTCTGGGACAAAGTTAAGACTTAATTATATTTTTTTTGCTGTACTCTCTGGGACCGCTCAGGTTGCACACTCATGTGGGTCAGGGCAATCCCAGACTTGGTACAGACTGGGAGGAAAAACTCATTGGGACAGCCCTAGGGGGAAGGACTTGGGGGTTCTCCTTGATGAGAGGCTGGACATGCCCCAGCCATGTGCACTTGCACCCAGAAACAAACTGGGCTCATCTCCACAGTGTGAGCACCAGGTCATGGGGGGATTCTGTCCCTCTGCCCTGCTCAGGTGAGGCCTCACCTGCAGTGCTGCCTCCAGCTCTGGGGTCCCCAGCACTGGAAGGACATGGAGCTGTGGGAGTGAGTCCAGAGAAGCCCATGGGTCTGTTCCAAGAGGTGGCACAGCTCTGCTCTGGAGCCAGGCTGGGAGAGCTAGGGGTGTTCAGCCTGGAGAACAGAAGGCCTTGGGGAGACCTTAGAGGCCCTTCCAGTGCCTGAAGGGGCTCCAAGAGAGCTGCAGAGGGACTTTGGACAAGGGCCTGGAGTGCCAGAACAAGGGGCAATGGCTTCCTACTGCCAGAGGGCAGGGACAGATGGGATATGGGGAAGGAATTCTTCTCTGTGAGGTGCTGAGGCACTGGCACAGGTTGCCCAGAGAAGTGTTCCAGGACAGGCTGGATTGGGCTTGGAGCAACCTGGACTAGTAGGAGGTGTCCCTGTCCCTGGCAGGGGGTAGAATGAGATGACCTTTAAGTCCTTCCAGCCCAAGCCCCACAAGGCTGCAGGGGCTGTGGGTGTGCAGTGCTTGGCTGGTGTGTGCTACAGCAGGAGCTGCTGCAGCAGCAAACACTGTGGTGATGGTTGTGCATTGTGCAGCTGGAGAGGTGTGGGGAAGAGGCTCTCAATGCTTTCTCTCCCTCATTTCCCTTGGTCTGTTCCTTGGAAACAGGGAAGAACCGGAGGCTGAAGCAGGCCAAGGAGGAGGCGCAGGCAGAGATCGAGCAGTATCGCCTGCAGCGGGAGAAGGAGTTCAAGGCCAAGGAAGCAGCGGTTGGTTTTCTACATCATTCATTTACCTCCAGTCCCTTAGCCTTGTGCTTGGGGTTACTTGCCCTAAAAGCAGCCCTTGGGGTGCATCGTGCTGCAGGAGAAGCACTTCCCTCACTGCTTTCCTCTGATGCACTGCCACGTGCCACGGAAAAAACAGTGGAAATGACTCAACATGGTGTGTTGCATCTCAACAGCCAGAACTAGTTACTGACAGGGAATGAACTTAATCAGCTCATGGATTGGCTCGTACCCTGATGGGTGGCAGCCTCCCAGAACCTGCAGTGTCCAAAAAGAGACCAAGCTCATCCCTCTTGTGATGTGTCTGTGATGCTAACATGGTGGAGACCAATTGCCTTATAGTTGCTGCACTCATGCTGAAGCAGCTACAAGGCTTGTGTTCTGTATAGCAGTGTTACCTGCTGTGTCCCAAGGGGTGCTTTCCTTTCCTTCTGAGGTATTCCCAGTAAGCACAGAACTGAGGCGTTCCAGCAGCCAAGGTTGTTTCCACTGCCTGTGTGCCCCTGTCAGTTCCAAAATCTTCAGGAGAATGACCTGGCATCCTCCCCTCTGTCTATCCTCTGGTTAGCACAGTGCCACCTCCTCTGTCTCCTGCATAATCACCTTCAGTGGGTCAGGAATACTTCTTACAATTGATTTTTAGCTTGGTTCACTAGGGATGTGACCCTCAAGGTTCATTAGTCCAACTCCTGCCCTGCACAGGACATCCCAACAATCCACCCTGTGCCCGAGAGCATTGGCCAAACACTCCTGGAGCTCTGTCAGCCTTAGGGCTGTGCCCACTGCCCTGGGGAGCTGTTCAGTGCCCAAACACCTCTGGGGGAAGAACCTCATCCTGATACCCACCTAACCCCCTCACCTCGACACACCTCCAGCTGTTCCCTTGGATCCTGTCACTGGTCACCAGAGAGGATGGTAGAGATTTTTACAAAGATCGTCCAAGGGTAGAAACAATGGGATAATGTGAACTGTGCTAAACTAACTCACGGGTGTTACTTTTCCTACACTCTCTAGTACAGTAGTGCCCAGGGGTTCCAGCTATCTGTACAGCAGAACCTTTGTTTTGGGCACTCCTTGGAAGCTCATGCTCTAAACTAGTAGATAATGAATAAATACCCCATGGCAGGGGGTTGGAACTAGATGGTCTTTAAGGTTCCTTCCAACCCAAACCATTCCAGGATTCTACAAAAGGGGATAAAAGGCAGGGCCTGAGGATGAAATAGAAACTTGGATAAGCTGAGTGGGAAATCTGAGCAGAAAATCTATTAGCACTTCTTTCTTTTTAAGTGCTGTTCCTCCCTCACTGAAGATTAATGGTTGAGATGCCTTGAGACAGTCTGGAATAACAAACTACTGAGCTTGGCATGGTGATTTCCTTGTCATGTTGCTGCATGTGAGCTGCCTCTTTCCTTTGTAGGCACTTGGATCTCATGGCAGCTGCACCACTGAAGTTGAGAAGGAGACCCAGGAAAAGATGAGTGTGATCCAGCAGAACTTCCAGAAGAACCGTGAGGTGGTGCTGTCCCAGCTGCTGTCACTGGTGTGTGACATCAAACCCGAGATCCACGTGAACTACCGCATCAATGGGTAGTGGGGGAAGAGGGAACAAGTGTACTGGAAATGCTGGGAATAATGTGTGAGCTTCAGGTGGAATGTACAGCTCTTAGCCATACCTTAACTGTCCTTCTTGTACATGTGTTACATTATTTCAGTGAGCTGTTGGAGTTCTGTTAGTTTCTCTTCTGACACAAACATTACTGGCCATATCTCAGATCTGTGCTAAGTTATTACATAGATATTCCAGTTGGCACATCAATGCTCCCTTTTTATCTTGATAGGGTTCCATGAGAGGCAAAGTAGAAAGGGGAGATAGATTCTGGCCTGTGTCAGTAATTGTTAAACTTGTGTAACTGTGTTCTTGTTGACCAAAATGCATTTTTCAGTGTGTTGTTGAACCTTTGTCCAGGGGTTAAACCCTCTGGGAAGAATTCTCTGGCTGTACAGTGCTGGCTGATAATTTTCAGGTGCTTGAGTTTCTCTGTATTGAATATCCTCTGTATATTCTGCTGTTAGCTTTGAGGTACAAGTCTGGCACTGACACCTGAAAGTAAAAACACTTCACTCCAAAGCCTCTAGTCAGTCTGGTTATTCCTTCTAACTTGTTCTGGAGTGCTGGCAGGTGCCCCATGGACACTTCAGAGTGACCATCAAGTATTGATAAAAGCAAGAGTAAGAGATGCAGCAAATATCTGAAGGTCACAGCAGGTAGGTTAAAACCCATTACAGAGCTCCTCCTCTTGGCTCCAGTCTGATGCTTTACCTGCCAGATCATTCTGAAACCTTCAGGAGCAAATGTTCTTGTGACCATTAGGGGAAATCAAACATTGCCAATTGACTGAAATAGTTTGATAACCAGGTGCTGTTCAGTAATTATCCTTCCTGTGGGCAAGTACTGGTCACTGTCTGCTTGCACGAAGGTCATCCTGTATCCTGCAGCATCCTGTACCCAGGAACGCTGGGAAGTGTTTTAGGGTTGTTCTGCATCACTTCTTGGCTCTTTAATCCAAAATACACACAAATATATCAAGGGGTTTCATGTTTCAGAGGTTTCTTCTTCTCCCTCTCCCACCAGCAGAATATTAACTGTAGCTTTGCTCTTTTGCTGAGTCCAGTTTAAGGCTTTTTGCAGAAAAGGCACCTCCACGTGTGCCTGATCAGATCCAAGAGTTGTGCTATCAGGATCTACACAAGGAACCTCATTGATGCTGTTCTGTTCCTCAGACAGAACATCCTGTATTTCCACAGCTCCTCAGGGTGGCATTGCAAGGCCTCTTTGGATCTCCCTCAGACCTCTCCCAGGTCTCCCTCAGACCTCTCCCAGACCTCTGGAGTTGGGTTGTGGCTGGGAGTGAGGAAAGCAGGATGGATGTGACTCCTGCAGTCACACAGGCACTGAAGGAGCAGATTGCTACAGTGTCTCCTGTTGTAATATTTTATGGTGCTCACTGTACTCCTGAAAAGATCTCTTCAGGAATTCAAGCTATTAAATGGGTTGTAAAATTGAAACAAAAGCTTCATGCAAAGTCAAATGTGCCAGGCTGGGGAAGAGCCAGGTGGGTACAAGGAGAACAGGATCAAAGCAGTTTTAATCAGTCTGGTGTAATGACTGGAGAGGTGCTATGGCCTCATAAAAGGTTGCAGCCAGGCTAATTCTAGTCTGTCCTTTGGAGATGAAACATTTCTTCCTATTGAGAACAGGTGCTCAGGCTGCAGTGTGACACTCCTCATAAAATCCCTCCTTGCTCCAGGCTGTAATTAGCAATTTCATCCTGTTTGTTAGCAGTGACAGACTCATACTCTGTCCAGAAACAATGAGTGTGTGCTCCACTTTCACATATTGGTTCGTAAGTTTCCCTTGGTTAATGAGGACTTTTATCCTTCCTCTCTACAACAGTAAGAAGCAGGAGAAAAGGGAAAAATACTCCCTGATTATTTCTTCTTGGCAACTGTGCTGTGAAGACATTTCCTTTAGAACATGCAGGAGTGTTAATGTGCTGCAAGAATATCAATTTTTCTGTAATACTTCCCTGAAACTTAACTGTAGAGCGTTAGCTTTGCACAGAAGGAAGGGTTTGCAATCACTGCTCTCCAGGAAGGCTGGCTTTGCAGTGCAGAGATCTCATTTCAAATGGAGATTCTTTCATCTTGCCCTGTGAGGCTCTGGGAAAGGGAGTCCTGCTGCTGCCTGCCTCAGCCAGGCTGTGCCAGGAACATACTCTGCAGGGAGCAGTCTTCTGACAGAGGAATGGAGTGGGGGACACAGCTTCTTGCCTCAAATCTGATTTTATGGATGTTCTGCAGAAAGTTGGATGAGTAGAAGTAAAACCCATCCCAGCTGTGAGTATGGGTATGTATTCAAATTCTCCCTGCTGCTCCTCTGCCCAGAAAAGCTGTGGCTGCCCCAACCCTGGCTGTGTTCTAGGCCAGGATGGATGGGGCTAGGAGCAGCCTGGGCTAGTGGAAGGTGTCTCTGCCCATGGCAGGGGGTGGGACTGTATGAACCTTAAGGTCCTTCCAATCCAAACCATTCTGTGATTCTGTGACAATTCCTCATGACTCTGAGCCTTAACCTGCTCTGGTACCACAGAAAGAGCCAGAAGGTGCTTTGGGCACATATCCTGCTGTCTGATTCCCTTGATTTGAGCTCCTACCCCTGGAAACACCACCTGACTGCCAGGAAGATCAGAGTCCTGGTGCCCTAGGGAGGTAAGAAGCAGTCAGCACCCATGTCTTGCTTTGTTCCTGCAGTGTCAGGTGAGTGGCTGCTGCTAGTGATTCCTCCCAGTTAAAACTTGCTCCCAAAGAAGCACCTTCCTGGCATCAGTGTGGGCAGACCAGGATTTACACAGTGCCGTTTGCCTTCAGTCCCATCCATGTTCATCAACAGTAGTTTGGAGTTGATTTTTGTGGGATTTCTTTACAGGCATTATCTCTGTATTTAGAGAATTAATACTTGTAACATGCCACTGAGAAGGTGTGTCATCTGTGCAAGCAGCAGATGAATCAGTGACATTAACACCACGACATGAGTGTCATTGGGATGACTTAACATGCAGTATGAAGTGCAATTAGGACACAGATTCATGTTGCTTGAAGCCAGAGTTCAATTTTTAAGGCACATCTGTGTTCACAGAGCTTGCTCCCTGCTCAGCTCACACTGCTCAGTCTGAAGGTCACCATCTCCTGCTCAATCAAGGAGTTGAAGAGCTCAGCACCCCTTGGAGTGTGGCAGAGGGGAAATCAAAGCCTTTCTGGTCAGGGCAACCATCTCTGCCCTGTCTAATGTTGCTGGATATTTCCTTGGTCAGTTCAGAGCCAGGATGGGTTTGATCCCCTGTGCCTTTATTGCAGTTAAATCCAAAACCATGAGAGAAAGGTCTAGTAATGAGCAGGAGGGATGAGGTGTGGGGTCTGTGGTGAGGACAGGCTGGATGAGGTCTTGAGCATCCTGGCCTAGTGGGGAGGTGTCCCTGCCCATGGCAGGGAGGGCTGTGACTAGATGACAGTTATTCAGCCCATGTGGCATGTGCCTTTGGGTCATGGGGCTTCCTGGGACATAATAATCATTTTACTGTTTTTAGACAAGCATTTTGTGTAAGATCTAACTTGTAATTGTTTTGGTTGTTTGTTTTAGAGTAGTTTTCTCCTCAAAAATCCACCCTGACCTTTTCCCTTCATCCCTTCCCAGGGCTGTGGCCTCACCTTGAGTGCTGGGGGCAGTTTTGGGTGCCACAATAGAAGAAGGATATAAAGCTACTAGAGTGTATCCAAAGGAGGAAGAGAGAGATGGTGAAGGGCCTAGAGGGGCCATACAAGGAGCAGCTGAGGACACTGGGTTTGTTCAGCCTGGAGAAGAGGAGACTGGGGAAACATCAGTGCTTTGCAGCTTCCTCACAAAGGGCAGTGCAGGGGCAGCTCTGAGCTCTGTGTGACAGTGACAGGACCCAGGGAACAGCTGGAGCTGTGTCAGGGGAGGGTTAGGTGGATATCAGGAAAAGGTTCTTCCCCCAGAGGTGTTTGGGCACTGAACAGCTCCCCAGGGCAGTGGGCACAGCCCCAAGGCTGACAGAGCTCCAGGAGTGTTTGGCCAATGCTCTCAGGCACAGGGTGCATTGTTGGGGTGTCCTATGCAGGGACAGGAGTTGGACTGATGATCCCTGTGGGTCCCTTCCAACTCAGGATACTTTGTGATTCTATGAAGTAAAGGAGGGAAATCACCCACAGCCCCATACCTTGAGTCCAGAGAGCTGTTTTTAAGAGAGCAGCAATTCTGACTGGCAGTGCTGTGGCAGAAGCTCCCCTGGAGCTTGACTTGGGCAGTTTCAGAACCAGGAGAGAGGATCCTACATTTTCCTACTTCTGGAGGTCAATGAGCCATTCCTCCTTCCACCTTGTGCTGCCAGGCTGAGAACATCAGTGAATCTTTCAAGGTGTGTAAGATTCACTTCAAGATTGTCAGTCCACATCTGACAAACTTAAATTCCTCCTTCTGCTTTTGTGAGGTCCCTACACAATTACTGATGAGCTTTATTGGAGCTGGAGCTTTCTTTAATGCAAGATACAAGGCCCATTGAGCTACTGGTAGTATTCTCCCTGCCATCCCCAGCTTTGGGCTCCTGCTGTTTGCTCCCACCCTGGTCCCCATCTGACCCCAGAGCAAGCAGAATTCACTGGCAATCAGTAACCCTATGGAAAAGGCAGCAGTTCCTGGCCTGTGAGGCAGCTCGTGGGTGGTGTGAGCAGCAGGATGGTGTGTCCCAGCATGGGGAGTAGCTGGGCACAGCCTTGCAAAAGCACACCCTAATTCTCACTGACCTAAATACTCCTGAGCTGTCTTGCCTTCCTGGTGTACCATTGCACAGTGTCCTCTCTGTAGGTTACAGATGACTATGTAAGAAGAAAGCCACTCCTTTCTCTCTGCCTGCATTAAACCTGCTCATTTTTTCTC